AGATGATGTATAAATCTCAATTTTGAAAAATTGACCCTTATGACTGGTTTTGTGGTCCAGGATCACATTTCATATTGGCAGAGGTATGTGCCGTCGTGTTTTTAAAGCTCCTTCACCTGAGTTTATCAGCGCTCAGGTTTTCGACGTTCAGTTCCTTACGGCGTTCACTAAGAATGGTTTTTTTCTTCTCCCTCTCTGTTTGCTTCTTAGGCCCACCCCTTTTATCTGTCTGTCAATCAAAACACAACAGAAAACAAGCATTTGTAGTGGCTTCGATGAGCGTCTGTAGCTCCGTCAGGTCTTTCTCCATACGTTTGCGGTGAATATCCTGAGGATATGGTTTTGAAGTTAATTATGTAATAGTGGTAATGTACAGTACAGTACAAACTACTCATAGCACATGTTTTATGACAGTGCAGGTCATATAACACTGTTTAGTTTAGAAACAGAAAGTTCAAAGTGATTTATTGGCATGACAGTTAACATATTTGTAAAGCATTTGCTGCTGACAAGGACAATAGTGCAACGCAAAAATGCAGTGGTAAACAAATTAATGCAATGTAAATAAATTAAGGAAGTGTATACTACAATAATTAAATGAAATATGATGCACAATTAAATTAAATTAAATTAAATTAAATTAAAATAAAATAATAAAATAAAATAAAATAAAATAAAATAAAATAAAATAAAATAAAATAAAATAAAATAAAATAAAATAAAATAAAATAAAATACTCACATCAAAATCAACTTTCTCTCCATCAGGAATTTTAGGAGGCACCAAAGCTGGCACAAAGGGTCTAATAATCAACAACAATGCAGTAGTATTTTTTTTCATACTAATGGTCTTACATTTGGAAATATATAGTTATGTATTATACCTTATATATAACCTATTTTATTTATAATTTATTTCACAGAAATGTGAAAGTTTCACTCACTTATGCTTTGGTTTTGTTTCTCCTGCATCATCCAGTTGGCAAGAGGGTAAAGAAAAAATACAAATGTATAATTTAGTTGCTGATGATTTCATTGTTGTTTCTTTTAAAGGGGGTCAAAGGTCGCCAGGACTCAGTTTCTAGAGTGAAACCAGTTTTGAGTGAGTCTGATGTTATCACTTTACCTTCTTCCCCAGGTTCCTCAGCAGCATCTAAATAAGAAAAGACAGTCATGTCAGCTATGACAGCAATGTGAAGATCCACAGGATTGACACAAGACAAAGGAAATACAGAAAAAGCCCTGAAGACACATCTGTTATCAGAACCTAAAAGGTATTTTGTCTAAACCGTTTTTAAAAAAAAACTAAAATCTGGGTATTTCAGGTTAAGAAAGTCTGGAAGTGCTTGAAACTTCTTGAATATGATACATGTAGTCCATTAAGCTGACAATAGCTGACATTGTTCTAAATGTGTCACTCTTCATTTAATCAGTGACTTTGTGAAAGTATAATTATTGGGTGTTGTTGATCGTATTATAAGCACTTGCTGAATAATCCCGTATTTGTTTAGTTTTTTACCTGCATGATGTGGATTGGGTGTTTGCTTCCCACTGGCCTCTACAAGCCCTAAAAAATAACACATAAACAGTAGGATTTACCCGAAAACACATTATGATCATTTTGAAGTCTTGCCCTATGTATCATTATACACGATTTGTGTGCATTACTTATCAATATGAACCCTAAGTAATTATAAGAAAAAATGATGTAGGATTTACTTTGAACCAGTTTTTAAACAAATCGAATTAAAGTACAAAGCCTGAAATAGTATTTTCTTGTAAAATGTTCTCCAATAATCTTTGTTTTATTTACAGTTTTACTAGTGAAGTAATATGTTATTTATAATTATAAATATTTCACTTTTATTTTTTATTAACACCAAGGACCAAACCTGCAGAAATTAAAAATAAATAAATAAATAAATAAATATATATATATATATATATATATATATATAGATAGATAGATATATATATAGATAGATAGATAGATAGATAAATAATTAAATAAATAAACAAACGTAATAATAGGAAAATAAATAAAGAGATAAATCACTTGATAAAAACAAAAATCGTTCATTTGTATTTAATCCTGAATTTTTTTCCTCTATGTAGTATTTTCTGTATTTATTTTTATTCTTTTTAACTTTTATTTACTTCTGTCATTTATTTATTTATTTATGTTTTTCAATATTTTTTTAATTTTGCAGGTTTGGTCCTCCATAGCGGAAGCCATTTTTCATCACAGGACAAAAAAATAGAAAGGTAATTGCGACTTTTTATTTCACAATTTTGACTTTTTCTCACAATTGGGACTTTATGTCTCACAATTCTGATATAGACCTGTGAGTCATAAACTCAGAATTGCAAGAAAGTCCGTATTGTGAAATAAAAAGATTGCAAGAATTACAAAAGTTAGAATTGCGAAAAAAATAATCAGAATTCAGATTTTATATCCTTATAGAATTGTGAGGGGGGGGGGGAAATCTGACTTGTGAGGTAAAGAGTCACAATTTGTATTTTTTATCTTGTGGCGGAAACAAGCTTCCATACAAACCTCATTCATTATTAGCTGTAGCTTTAGCAATAGCATTAGCACAAGCGACACTACCTTCCTCCACCTGCTCCTCTACCTCCTCAAGCACCTCCTCATCCTGCAACTCCTCTGTGCAAAGCAGACGCAGACAGCGTGAGAACATAAGCATGCATATAGTTGCAAATGAGCAATGCATGCATGCAATATACACATACTCTCAAACACATGCTTATCTGAATGTTGTTGTTTTGTTGTTTTTTAAAGAAAAATATATTCCCATATTAAATCATCTTGTCCATTTGAGGACATTGCTATATGTTTGCAAAATGAAGTTTTGTCAGATTTAGCTCACCTTTGGTGGATATTTTTGTCACCAAAGTATAACAAAACTCAAACACACACACACACACACCCACACAGACACAGACACACACACACACACACACACACACACACACACACTTCAATCTCATTTAACTCTTTGAATGCGTATGAGGAGTTTGAGGGTAGATGAAGAAAATCAGGCCTCATTTAAACAATAAAGGCTTAGACTCGTGAATGATGTCACACAGTGCTATTACATAATGTGGTTTGGGAAACTGCTGGTCCTGATACTCCACCCTCGAACTAATCCAGCCACACATAAACACACCCGTCACCGCTTTCTCTGATATCAGCTTCTGCTGCCAAAGAACATGATCTCACAACACACACCCCAGCGCTCATCCGCTCTCACTCTCCTGTTCTTTAATGCATGTTGGGTAGGTTTACAAATCAAAGCAGCCAAATGTCCTCCCAGAACAACAAATACTGGCACTTTCACGAACACGGTTTAAAACAGGACCTTAAAAATAAAGTTTTTTTTTTTTTTCAACAAATGATCGGTGAAAGGAGGTGCTTAACAATCAGATTTATTTTTAAACTAAAAGGTTGAGTTAATAAGCTTCACGAGTTTTTTTTTTTTTTTCATGTCAGAATGGGTACTCATTTTATATGAGCAATTGTTGCGAATAGATAACACGTTTGAAAATTACAGGGTTGGAATTTTTTTTTTGTTCAATCATTATAGTTTGGGATCAAATGTTACTTTAGTAATACACAGTCTCCCATAAATGATCAACTGTTTCCCATGTGGATAAATTGTTACAATATTTTTACAAATATGTTTCTTTACAAAAAAATATTTTCACTATATATAGGTGATGAAAATAATTATTCATATTAAGAAAAGTATTTAATTTTTGGTTTTAGTCAATATTTCTTTTAAGTAACATAAGGTGGCAATTAATATATTTTCTAGCTACTTTTCAAAACACGGAGTAGTAGGATTTGTCCCACTAATGCTTGTAATAGATACCAAAAAATGTCCTGGGAAGTGCCAGCTAAATTCTTCTCCCTGAACCTGTATTTGTTTCTACAGGTCTGATTTCAGTGGGCTAAACACACATTCCTGTCACATGAAGGGATGGTTTGTATTCAAAATACATGTCTTTGTTCAGTGCAACCTCGTTCACTGTGAATCTCGCCTAGAAAGGCACTCTCTCTGTTACTGGTCAATAAAGGTAACATTTAACTGAGGTATCAGGGTAAAAGCCCAGGAGCCGATGTGCAAACCAGATCATCTACAGCGAGGAAACCTGATTCCCATTTGGGCCGGCCGAGAGAGGGAGAGACTGAGCTTGTCATTGTGCTCCAAACAACAGCCCTTCTCAGCGGCCCCGAACACACAAACCTTTCTCTGCGTGAACACTGACTGGAATGTTTTAACTGAAGTTGCTTCATGAAAAACAGCAGCAAAATCATAGAAAATGATGTCTATTGTGCATGCTTTTTAATCATGATCAATAATCGGAAGAATAATCAAATGCCATTTGTTAAGTTTCTCTAAATAATGTTGTTTATATCCACCTGTATTTATACTGAGTCACGCATACATGTTTATTAAAATCGATTATTAAGTGAAACATCACTGCAATGCATTTATGCATTTGATCCCACAATCTGATGGATTTAGTTTATAGCAATAATTATAGATGTCCAGGAAAATAATCAGTAAATTTGTGTAAAAAAAATAATAAGCATCTGTGTGAAAAGATCATTTCTGCCACATAAAAACCCATCATAATAATGACATAAAAATTATAATGACATAATGACAAAAAGTTAAAACTAAGAGATAAAAAGTAATAATTATGACAAAAGATTTAGATTTTTTTTGTCATAATGACTTTTAATGTCATTCATTATTTCATTATTTCATCTCTTATGTGAGAATGCTGACAATTTGTCAATTATGATTTACAGCATGATTTTTTTTTCTTATGTGGTGGAAATGACTTCAATAAAAGGTGAAATGTTCAATAAAATGCTCAATAAAAGGTGAAATGTGAGAGGTTGTTTACATGAACATCTTTTAGAACTCTCATAAATGTAACTTTTTTGTCATAATTATGATTTTTTTTCTTATGTGGCAGAAATGGTCTTAGCTAAAAGTTGAAATGTTCTACGTGAAAGTTGTTTGAGTTTATCCCCCCAAGATACTAGCTATTTCACTATGTTAGGTTGTTGTCTACATTAAAAAAAAGTATTTTGTCAGGTAATCTAAATTATTATTTTATATGTAAACATCTAAATTAACATTATTTAATTAAAAAATATTACTTATAATATTAGTATATTTTCTACTTTTATACAGTGCATTTTGTGTGTTGTTTTGGAGCATTTGATTTAAAATAATGTTGGCTTAATAGACAAAACTGTGAGTTTAATGCAGATTTATTATTTACAGAGAAGCAAAACAGATTAAAACTTACCCTCTTGCCCCCTGGACAGAAACAAACAAGATGGTAACGTTATGTTAACTTTTGCGATCACTATAAACATGTCAGTGATTGAACGTGTCTATGGATGAACTTGCATGCATTTATTCTCTTGTTCCATCCTGCACAATGCATATAAATGCTCTTAAATGAAGCCCAAAGACACTTACTCATGCTCAACGTCCTCTCTGTATGACATGCTTAGATTAAGACCTGTTTCATATACAGATTACAGAAGATTTTGTCAGCTCTTACAATGATTATACTGGTCTGACAACATATTAAACGATCAATCTATCATGCTTTTGGTGGAGACGTGCAGATATTGCTCTTACCTGTCTTTAGGTCAGGATGAGGTTACTCACCGGTTTGTCAAAGGCTGTTTGCTCTTGAAGCTGAACTCCAATGATATATAAATTGTCCCAAGATCACATGACTATACTGTATATGAAATGATTTGTGTTGATAGAGGGTGGGCTGGACGCACATGCCATTGCACATACATGCACCTATGAACACGTATAGTACATGCACAATGAGAACAATAGACACATTCTCTTTGTCTGTGCATCGTGTCTATTAATAGATCGGCTGACAACTGTGCGCTCATATGATGATCTTAGTGTTCTACTTTAACTGTTTTGGAGTGATAATTTTATACATAATAAAACAGTGACTTAAGTGGTATGATATTTAGATACTGGTTAATTAAAGGAATAGTTCACCCAAACATAAAAATAAAAAATAGCTGAATATTTACTCACACTCAGGTCAGCCAAGATGTAGATGGGTTTGTTTCTTCATCAGATTTGGAGAAATGTAGCATTGCATCACTTGCTCAGCAATGGATGCTCTGCAGTGAATGGGTGCCGTCAGAATGAGAGTCCAAACAGCTGATAAAAACATCACAATAATCCACAAGTAATCCACACCACTCCAGTCCATCAATTAACGATTATTAATTATTGCGTATGTATTATTATTATTATTTTAGGTTTGTTTTATTTATTTTTATTTATTTTTTAAATGTCATTTATATGTTTGTGTTTGTGTTTCTTGTTTTTATTTTTTTATTTGTTGTTGTTAAATTATATAATTAGTTAAATAAACAACTAAACTGTATCTAACATGATAAGATTATCAGTAAAATAAAACTGTGGCAACTCGATTTATGCCACTACTGTAATCAATACAAAATATGAATAAAAAATATATATTTATATTATAATATGGGCTACATAAATGGCAAAATAATGTTTAACTTTTTTAGAAAATAATAATATCACAAATAATACATACAGAAGGTAGAATCCTGACTGGACGAGAGGAGGAGCTGGGGATGGAGGAGGGTAATTAGCTATTGAGCCAACGTGAAAGCTGCTGATAATACTGAAGGACCTTAAATATGGATGATGTGATAGGCGTACTGTTATAACATATTAGTATTATAGTATAAACAATATATTATAAATGATATAGAATCTAAAAATTAGATAACATTGCTACTCCTAAGAACTGACAGTATAATATCAACGCTGATAAAGAGACTGTCTTCCTGTTCTCACTTGCTCATTCGAGAAGAAACACTCTTTAAGTGACCTGCTCTTAAATCATGTTATTTGCTAAGTTGCTTGATAAAAGAAAGATGAATGATGAAACTCAGCACAATGAATGCACAACTGTACTGGGCTGGAAACACTATTCAGACGGTTAATCCAGCACTAGAGTAAAACTTCATTATGTTCTAGTGAATGCAGAGGTAATGTGAGGGACACAAAGGCAGATCTAGCACCATGCTGTACTGTTTGAGCAACAGGAAAGCTATTAAATCAATTTAGATCAATATAGATCATAGTGTAAAAGTAAATAAGTGTAGAGCATTTATTTTAATACAATTTCTTACAAAGTTCTAGCTGGTAAACACTGCCCTCTAGCAGCTGGTAAGTGTAGGAGCATCAGTTTCTGTTGGTTTTACTGATCGTCAGACCTCATACTTCCTCATATACAAGATCAAATGAGACTCTTTAAGATATGATGATAATGATAAAATACACTCCTTTGTTCATGTGACTGTAATGCAATGACGTCAACGTTTAACTGGTAAACTGAGAAATATGCAGCCAAACCACTGAAACAGTCACTTTGGCCTTATCAGCACATCTGGGTTTCCAGTGCAGACACACCATACTTACGTATAAGTATGAATCACTTTATAAAGGCAGAAAGGAGGGTTTTTTACCCAGTTTATTTTCTCATTTCGTTTTATTAGTCACTTTCTCCTCAGCTTTAATCCTTACCAAACATTTGTCCAGTACAAACATTCACATGAAATGACAAATCATGATATTTATTTACAGTAGAAGTTGATTGTGTTCACTTGTTTACTGTGCCGCATCAAACATTTTCTTCCTTCCTTCCATTCCAGACATGGCCTCCACGTTTTTCCTCCAGTCACTGACCTCCACTGTCTTTTCCTACAAAGAGACACACAAACACAAATGCAGAACTGAACTGTGTAATAATGCAGGTCTGAGTAACGCTAAACTCTTTCATTTCAGTCAAGATGGACACCATCGACCCCCAGCACACCTTCTCTGTGTCTTCCTTCTTGACGGACTTGAGGTTTGCTCTCAGGTCCATGGACACCTTGTGTTTGGAGCCCAGCAGAGAGCGCAGGATGGCGTCAGCGGAGACTCGGACTCTCCTCAGGGTGGGTCGCTTAAATTTGCCTCTCAGGTCCAGGACTTTGATGTTCAGGTCCTTGATCTGCAACAGGTTTGTTGAACAGTTTGGTTCCTGTATGAATATGATGTCACGTTCTTACACAATACCACATTTCTATTTCTTTTTTAAGAAATTGAAATTGTTGTGACTGATGTGCTATATTAAACATGAAATAATGCCAAAATCAAGACGGATTCCTACACCCTCAAACTTATATTTTTGTATATGATTAAATATTTTGCAATAAACGTATAATCAGTGTTGGGGGTAACGCATTACAAGTAACGCAAGTTACGTAATCAGATTACTTTTTTCAAGTAACTAGTAAAGTAACGCATTACTTTTTTAATTTACAAGAAAATATCTGAGTTACTTTTTCAAAAAAGTAACGCCAGTTACTTTGTTTTCCCATTTATTGACTGACAAGTCTCCTGTCCCCATATTGGAAGAAATCGGAAGTGCAGAGGAGTTGTGTGCGCTGTGTGAACATGATGTTACTGTAGTTCTAGACTAAATGTGAATGTGCATTAATTCATCCCACTCCCAAAAAAACAGATTTAGTATTCATCAAAATGAATTAAAACAGTGAAATGCAAACTCAGAATATGACGCAAACCTGCAATAATTAAATCTGTTAAATAACACAAATGTATCGAATCCCATTTTAACCAATGTCTTTGCTGCTGACCTTTGATGATCCAGTTCAACCATACTAAGAAGCAAAAATGACTTTAGATAAACATAACATTTGTGTTGTTGTTTTAAAAAAAAAATTTATGAGTTATTTTTTCAAAAAAGTAATGCCAGTTACTTTGTTTTCCCATTTATTGACTGACAGGTCTCCTGTCCCCATATTGGGAGAAATCGGGAGTACAGAGGCGTTGTGTGCGCTGTGTGAACATGGTGTTACTGTAGTTCTAGACTAAATGTGAATGTGCATTAATTCATCCCACTCACAAAAAACAGATTTAGTTTTCATCCAAATGAATTAAAACAGTGAAATGCAAACTCAGAATATGACGCAAACCTGCAGTAATTAAATATGTTAAATAACACAAATGTATCTAATTCCATTTTATTAACCAATATCTCCTGACCTTTGATGATCCAGTTAAACCATACTAATAAGCAAAAATGACTTTAGATAAACTAACATTTGTGCTTCATTGTTTTTTTTATTGCTAAGGAGTGTTGAACCTTCTTCTCCTGTGTTCTACTGTACGGATGTGAATTTACTTTTCCTTCAGCCTGAGGTTTATTCTTTAGACTTTTTGGTGTGAAAGGGCTTTTATATTTGCTATAAATAGAACTTCTTATATTAAAAACAATCAAGCCCTGCTCATATTTAAAAAGTAATGCGAAAGTAACGCAAAATGAATGTAACGCATTACTTTCCATAAAAAGTAACTAAGTAACGTAATTAGTTACGTTTTTAGGGAGTAACGCAATATTGTAATGCATTACTTTTAAAAGTAACTTTCCCCAGCACTGCGTATAATGTATATCAGTGTTTTTTTTATAGCCAGTATAAAGGCATTTGCAATGCTTCATGGGATGAATATTTATTGGCACTTACGTTTTTTTTTTCCCCCTTCAGTTTTTCATATAATTTCCAGTTGTTGTTGTTTATTATTGTGATTCATCTTGGAACGTTGGAATTTTGTTTGTTTATTTTTTTTTATTCTACAGAGAAAATGAATGGGAAAAATACTTCCACAAGGTCGCTAAGCAAGTGGGCACTCACTGTAAATCACTACTGGTTCAGTAAGTATATCGGATAGTGTTTTTGCTTTTAATATGGACTGACAAATGAATACTGGAAACTTGTTATTTTGTGTCTGGTTTCTGTTTCAGTGCAACTGGCCAAAAAAAACAAATGAAATAGACACATGGTGTGTTGTTGACTGAGCTGTATAAAGAGTTCAACTGTTTCTTTACTTCTCTTGTGTTGTGAAGCACTTTAGCCTCGATATCGTAGCGCTCCTCGTCCACCACATCGATTTTAACATGTAGTTCCCGACACAGCTCCTGATAGAGAGAATAAATATAGTGTTTACAGGCCTGCTGCTGTTTCTGCTGGTTTTGAAAGTACATTTTCTAAAAGTATGATGGTGTCAGATGTTAATACATTGGTGCTTTTATATATACAGAGCTATAATATTGTTTGTTTACAATTCATATACAGTGGTGCTTAAATAGCACTTTTGGGATACAGTAGTTTCCAAAAACATGGTTTTCCATGTTGTATTTATTTTGGTAATACAATGGTACTTTTTGTAAGGGATTTATTTATATTAATACCAGTAGTATGAGAGTGTTTTATGAGTTGTGGATGTACCTGAAGCTCAGCTAAAGACATGCCACTCGTCTGTAGCAGAGGAGCATTCTCAGCCAGATATCTCTCCTTCTCTGCCTCTTTATCTACCAGCTCCTGCTCTAACTCGTCCTTTGCTTTAGCTACCATAAGACTCTGCCAAACACACAGACACACACTCTTTAAGATCTAATATATGCTAAGAGAAAATCAATATAATAAGCATTTGAATGCACTTTCTTAATTTCTGATGCTTGCTAAGTATTGCTTTTTTATTTTATTTATTTACTTTTTTTTTTTTTTAGCAACCCCCCAAAACACTCTATATGGGGCTTTTTTTTTTTTTTTTTTTTACAGGAAAGCACTACCTACG